CCATTACAGTGGCCTCAGTGAGGGACTGGCTTTGGGGCAGGGCACAGCGCTTTGCTTCCCTCTGAGTGTTTCCCCCACTCTACTTGGCAATGCAGATAAAAGAGTAAAGTTACATTTTCCCTTAAGTTTCTAAGGTGAAATGGGAACACTTGATTCTGTGCTACCCAAAAAAACAAAACAAAGAAACCTCTCCACTTGCCAAATCTGATACCAAAAGTTAACTAGCTCTTGGAACTATGCTTCTACAGAAAATGCATTAGTGGGAATTTTAACAGAAAACCCATTATGCCCAGGCTGTTACTAAAACTTTTGCAAGTTCCCCTCTTCAGAAAGAGATTCATTTTAATACTAATTGTTCTAAAGAATATGAAACATTAATTATCTAATAAAATTCCTTTTGGGGGGGAGGGGGTCTGCGGAGGAACAGAAGAACCAAACACTAGAGGTTTTCCTAATGCTTCTGACAACCAAACAAGTCAAAACAGTGCAGGAGCGACCACCCTAATTAAATCAACCCCAACGAGTGAAACTCCAGGGTGGAGCAATGGAGGATTCAACTACAGAAGGTTTAAGGGTTGTGTTTTTCTTTCAATGCATCCAGCAGGAGAACAAACACTGTTGATTTAAATAAATGTGTATTCTAATTATACATGTTCATCTTGACACTACTTAACAATATCTCGTAATATATAAGCAAATCATAAAAGGTAATCAAAAGTATAATCTTAGTCTAGTGTCAGGATTAAGATGCTGTTTTCCTTAATTGTTATTTTACTGTGTAATTTAAGACATTCCTTCCTTACAATTGATAATTTTATCGATGAAAACAGTCACAAGTTAAATAGAGAGGGGGAAAAACAATGGTTCTCGGAAACTGAGGTAGAACTAGCAATCAAGCAGAAATGGCAAGCGTTTCTTAAAAAGGTATTGATTGTCTCTACTTTCAGACAACTATGAGCTTGTTGTTGTTTTAATTTAGAAACACTCATATTTACAAAAGTGTCTTTCCTGTATATTCTCACCATTTCAAGGTAATAAGTCTCAACAGCATCATTAGATATATTAGCACATTTCTTTGCAAGACGTTAACCACTTTCCGTGTTTACTACCTCCTGGACCTCCCAGTGGCCCTGTGACACTGAAGGGAGAGGCTTAAAATGATCCCATTTTACAGACAAAGTGAGAAAGAGGGATTAAATGGCTTCCCTCTAGTCACACAAAGACTCATTAAGATCAGCAACTGGAAACCTGGTTTCCTGATTTCTGGTTTAGTGTTCCACATACTATGTATGCTTCCTTCTGCGAAGTACTATTTTTGTAAAGGTTTCTCTTTCAATAAGGGAAATAGCACAAGTCATGTGACTTTCATTCACGAAAGCCTCTGTGTGTTTTCATTAGCACCTCACTGTCTGTTCCTGAGAGTAGGGTAGGAGCGTGCACATGACTATCTTGTGACAGAGCTGGCCAGCTGAAGCAGAAAAATGCACACAACAGAAAAAATAAAGGGTCTTGGTCTGTCCGGCAATCTCCCTGGAGTTCTAAAAGTGTCCACGTTCTTTGCTTTAAGATTTCAACAGGCAATACTTTTAAACGTAAGTGGTGACTGTATCATTCCTGTGGAAACATTTCTCTTAATCCATAATCTTTTACTATAGCATATGAATAAACAGTCCCTTTTATCGAACATTTAAATACAGATGCTTTCAGTGGCCATTTTTAACCTAATCTGCCCTGCACATATAGAAAAACCAATTTTAGAATAAAAGTCCCACTAAAAAGGAACACTAAAATAGCATATTTTATGGCATGCACCAATCTATAATCAGAACAAAAATATGAGTTAATTTTAAAAAGTAGTTTTAAAGCATAGTAAATTCAGTAACATACCTCCACTTCCCCAACAACAACATGCTAACACATTAGTTCAATTTTTCTACATACACACACATAAAATACATGGTAAATAACCTTCCCCTACTCCCAAATGAGATGCATACTTTAGATTTAAACTTTTATTTTTCTCTGGACTCATATATCTATATTATATACATATACCTAAAGTGTCCTAACTTTGACTTGGCTTTCGCATTGAAACCCCACCCCCATTCCCAATTCTATTGTAAACAACTACCGAACGTTGCTGGAACCTTTACTGTCTTTGTCACGACTTATGCAAATACCAAACGCCACCAAGTGACCCCAAATTATTCTGCCTCAGCATAACCAGTGCAGTTTTCCCATGCAGACCCCAAGAAGCTCTATGTGGAAACAAACAGCTGCCCCTCCTGAGAGCCAGGGCAGTGCGCACAATGACCCAGAAGCTCTTTTTCTATTTCTTCTTCAAACAAATGCTTTGCAAGTATTCCTTCTAGAAATTATTCTCTCAAAGGACACTAATCTCCCGTTAGCTTTTTATTTATGAACACCCCAAACAAATGTCTACGGGAATACATGAGTTAAATAAAAGTGGATGTTCATTCTGAATTTCTAAATGTTCTCCTGGCTTCACAGACCACAATTTAGCTTCCACATTAATTAAGATGACACCCTCCTCTTTCCTATTCTGCTGTTCCCTGTGTTCAAATGAGTTTACTAGAAACCCACTTAGCATGTGGTCCTTTTTTTTTAAATGTGGTTTTGGCACAATGAATCAATTGCAATTATCAATTTTGCTTAAAAAGAGCCCTTTTCCTTTTTAAAAGGGTGTTTACCATCATGCCCACACAGACTTTGGAAAAACAAAAACCAAAACGATCTCTCATCTTTGTGCAGCCACCGTGAAACATACAAACTGCTGTTTTGATTTCAGAATCCTGAATCCTATAAGTTGAAAGGAATTTTATACTGGTGGGAAATCTTAAACAAAACAAGCTAAATCGGTTCTCTACCTAAACTTATCTCTTGCAGTTTAAAATTTTCCCTCGTCTGAAAAGGGCATTATATCATACATGAATCACATTTCTGAATGTATCTATGTTATCAAAAAAGCCTCAAATCCTTTTAGGCCCGTAGACGCACACTGCAGCTCACTCCTCCTGTTACTGCAAGAACCCACTCCTGGGGCCCTCCTGAATCCAGTCCAGGTTTTTACCGCCTACTCTACCAAAAGCAGTAAAAGGTGTTATGTTCTCAGACTGTTTTTCTGATTAGAATCAGATTTCAGCAAAATGTACTTTCATGTTCACTGTGGCATATACCCATTTGGGCATACCAAATAAATGTGTGTGTGTGTGTGTGTGTGTGTATTTTCCCCCCACTCAGTTCTAGTTCTGCTGGTGTGTTTATATGGTCCATGTCTTGAAAGGCAGCTAATGCTTAACTCTCTGACACACTAGCAATTTTTCAGGCATACCTGTAGTGCTTATTGTAACTCCAAGTAAAATGACCTTCAGCGGAGAGTCACCGTTTATGGAAAACATTCTGACAACTTCCAATTGATTTAACTAAATGCTGAAGCACTGCATTCCTGATAATTCTGTGACTTTTCATCTTTTATTCTAGGGTTTTAATAAAAACGTAAATAGTTTTTCCTCTATTATATTACATTGTAATTACCCTACAGCTAAAATTCTAAATCCCGTGGATGTTATCAAACATACGCTGCATTTAGATAGCATTAAACTGGCCTGTTTACTCTAAGGAAAAAAGGCATATGGATCCCCAAGCCACCTTCATCATCACCTCGTTGTAACCCCTGCTGACTGCTGACCTTAGGCCAGCATCTTGGACAGCATCCACTCCTGTGCCTTCCGTGGTTCCCACACTGTCTCTATCTCACTAGCAACCCTGCACAGAAAAAGCTACAGAATTAAAGAAGAAACTCTCTTGAAATGAACATCCCTCACCCCTTTATTCCTCTCTCTCCCCTATCAAAGTTTGAGACAGTCAGCACGCATCGCCAGCTGCAAAGCAAGGAGTCTCTCTCTCCTCATGGATATTTGATGAGAACGTGAAGAGCAATGCGGGGCACCATCTATCCCACTGTTCTTGAAAAGCCCCATGTTGTTGTCTTCACTTGTTTTCTCTAAAGCACTGATTCTAAATCCTGGCTGCACATGATCACCTGGGCAACTGAAAAACGCTCGTGCCTGGGCTCTACCTGAATGTGTCTAGCGTGAGGCCTAGTAGGTAATTTCTCAAACCTCCTCACATGGGTCTCACCTGGGGCAGGGTTCTCAGAGGATGGTCACCCATCCCCCAGACGTCTGAGAAATGCGCATTTTGGGTCACACCCCAGACCTACTGCATCAGAATCTCTGGGGCTTTACGCAGTCCAGCCCAGCCATCATCCCGGTTTCAAGCAGACTCTCCAGGTGACTCCAGGTATGCTCAAGTTTGAGAACCACTGCTTTTGAACTGTGTTTAAGGGGTATTACTATCCCAGCCCCTTATGAGAAAAAGAATGTCTCTGATGGACACAGTTTATGTGTAAACTGTAAACGGTGAACTGTTCCCTTTAGCAGCCACAGAAATGGATGCTCACTTCCTAAGTGACTTTCGAGCCTGTTTTTATAAACTTTGAGGCTCAGCAAGAATCAGCTGGGGCCTGGCTCCAGGAGAACAAAGAGAAAATTTGCGAAGGTTACAAGCCTGGGAGAAGTCTGAACTTCTGGGCCCTTCCTAGCAGAACTTTCCCACTCTCAGATCAAGAAGACAGTGCCTGCCACCTCTTAGAGGTGGGGACCTGGGGAGCACGTCCAGAGTTAGCAGATGGCAAGAGGACTGTGGGAAACAAGAAACGTGTTTGGCCAAATAAACAAGCAGCAGTCTCCTGAGCTGGAAGCTTCAAATTCAAGTCAAAGATGACTTGACTGCTCTTGGCAAGGTCTTTGGGGAAAAGAGAAGGGCGCAGGAGCCAAAAGTAAAACAAAACAAGGAGCTGGGGCCAGTCTTTTGGCATTTAGGTCAAGGTACCAGAACAGGGAAGAGGGGTGAACCCCCCGGACGCTCCCCCACTTCCCCGCCCTTCCTCCCACCTGCCACAAGGTGAAGGGCCTCACCTTTCACAATGGTGGCCTCCTTCAGGTGATGGGACAAGAAGTCAATGCTGGCATAGGTGTTGGAGGGCAGGGCTCCGGGGCCTGGCCCCCCACACCCCCCGCCGGTGCTGTTGGCCCCCACGGCGCTGATGAGACCCCCGAGGCTGCGGGCCCGGCTCCAGGCGTTCTTGTCGCCCGGCTGTGGATGTGGGTGCAGATGTGGGTGCTGCTGCGGGGACGGCGAGGGCGCCGGCTCGTCCCTCACGTCGATGGCGATGTAGTTGAGGCCGTTCTGGAAGCCGGCGGAGGTCTCCCTGCGCATGGGG